CCCCGCCCCGTTCTGACATACATCACCACCAGAGCCCCTCCCCCTCCTCCCACATCTTCCAAGAACACTTTCTTTCCTCCTCTCCTCTCTTCGCCTCTTCTCTTCTCCCTCCCTCCCAACCTCGCTGCGCTCCGCGTGCGCTCAACTGCACCAATTTCAGATGTATCCCCGTCGGGCAGCGTGAAGTGCGTTTCCCGAAAGAATAAAAGTTCAAATGAAGGAAGAAAAGTTGAACTAGGCTAGAACGGGCGGCTACAGAAAGGAATACAGTGCGCTGAAAAAGAATGGGCTCCCTGCTGAGCGGCGCCGCGTCCCCACTCCTGACATCACTGCTGGCCTTCATTTTCTGGGGATTTTCTTGCGTCTGGACTGAGGACTTGAGGGAGCGAGACTCGTTGTGCAATGCGGACGGCTGCCTGGTGCTCTACTTCCAGCGAAAGACCTTCTTGGACTCATGGAGGGCCTGCAAGGAGAAGGGCGGCGACCTGGCCACCCTAAAACGCCAGGTGGACGCCGCCGCCGTCCACGCTCTCTTCACCACGGTGGACTTGCGCCACTCGCGCACCAAAGTCCAAGTCTGGATCGGGCTGCAGCGCCAACCCCGCCAGTGCACCGCCTCGCGACCCCTTCGGGGTTTCTCGTGGACGACGGGTGACCAGGACACAGAATATACAAACTGGCAGAGAGAGTACTCGCACGCCATGTGCTCGGTGCCCCGCTGCGTGGTTATGGGGTACAACACTCAGGATCCGAGCGAAAACTTGAAATGGCTGGATGGCTCCTGCTCCGTCCCTGTGGATGGTTATCTGTGCCACTATGCCTACAAAGGAATGTGCCCCGCCTTGTGGAGCGAGGGCTCCGGCAACGCCTTTTATGCCACGCCGTTTGGCCTTCTCAGCACCCTCCTGACCCACGTACCCTTGGGATCTGTGGCGACCGTGCCTTGCGAGACGGAACAGCAGTCGGTACTGTGCCTTTTGAGGGAAGACGGTTCAGCGGGGTGGTCCAGGGATTCCCCTCTCTGCTCCGATCCCCCCGCGTCGCACGACTGGTGCCAGGAGAATAACGGCGGCTGCGAGCATTTCTGCAGGCAAGCCGGCGCGCACCCGTACTGCGAGTGCGCCGAAGGCTACCAGCTCGGAGACGATGGGCAAAGCTGCGTACTTTCCGACGCTTGCCAAGAGGCCAACTGCCAGGTTGAGTGTGTGCCTCTATCGGAGGGCTACCGTTGCGCCTGCCCTGACGGTTACATGCTGGCTCCGGATGAACACGGCTGTCTGGACGTGGACGAGTGCCTCCAGAGTCCCTGCGAGCACAGTTGCGTCAACTCTCCCGGGAGCTTTGAATGTCGCTGTCAGGAGGGTTACCTCCTCAACGATGAGGGGATCTGCGAGGATCTGGACGAATGTCAAAGTCATCCGTGCGAACACTCCTGCGAGAACACGGAGGGCTCCTTCCTTTGCCACTGCCATTACGGGTTCTCGCCGCAGCCCGAGGACCGCAGTCGGTGCCAAGACACGGACGAGTGCCAGATACCAGGAACCTGCGAGCACATGTGTTTCAACTACGAGGGCGGCTTCGAGTGCTATTGTAAGGAAGGCTACCAACTCGTCATGTCTGACTCGTCTTCGTGTCAGAAGATTGGTGACCAATCCGCCGTCACGCCGCCGTTTCCGTGGGTCACACCACAGCCCGGACCCGAATGGGATCCTATGGACTACAATTGGCCCCCACAGCCAGGGCAAACCGTTTGGGAACCAGAGGGGGATCAGACGCTTGACTGGTTGACTGACCCTCCCAAAGTTTGGGGATCTGATGTCATATGGGTGACCAGCGCGCCTCAGGAGGACTTTGTTCATCCAGCGCCAGAGACTGTGACCGAGGCGGTCAATGTTGATGGCCGCGCTGACCTTTTGCCAACTGCTATCACGACCACACCTGCCCTGACGCACCCGCCCACCGTCTCCAGCACCTCTCTTTACTTGTATGAAGATGAGGATGAGGAAGAAGAGCAGGAGACCACTCCTTTCCCCTTTTCTTCTACCTCTACCCTCTCAGAGGGAGCTGGGAATTGGTGGGCGGGGTTCTCAACGGTGCTCCAGAACCAAGGAAATCCAGAGGATAAAGTCACAGTGTCTGACATGCTGACTGATTCCGCTTACCGCAATCCGTCAGAGAAAGAAAAACAATCCCCAGAGGAAGAAAAGAAAGAGAAGGACGCGAACGATGCGGCGACCACCACCGAAGATGCGCCCGCTTGGATCATTCCCACTCAGCCGCCCACGATCAACCACTCGGATTCTGTTCAGGAGGGCAGGGGGCCGAGTCAGAGTAGCACCTGGCTCCTGGTGGGCCTCTTGGTGCCCATCTGTATCTTTGTCGTGTTAATGGTCGTTCTGGGGATCATCTACTGCACCCGCTGCGCGGTACGGCCTCGGAGCAAGACCGGCACCGACTGCTACCACTGGATCTCTGGCGCTCATGATAAACAGGGGGCGGCCGGCCCTTCGTCAGGGGTCAAGAGTCATGTCTAATTAGAGCGCAGCCAAGTTGGCTTGACCTAAAAAAAAAAAAAAAAAACACTCAACGTGAAAACGCACGCTGATTGGAATAAGTCGACTCATGGTGTCAGCCTCCTGTCGTTAAATATCGCGCGATCATATCCGTTGATGTAGCAGGTGAGAGACACTGAAAACGTTTTCTTTTTGTGTCGTTGCTTCGCTTGTATGTTGCAAACACTGACCACTTGATTCCCCCCACCCCCGCCCTCCCAATTTCTCAACTGAAGAGAACTGTCAACTCCATGAATGATTGATGACATCGAGGTACGGTTTGCTCGCAAGTGCAGTAAACGGGGAATTGTTGTCATGAGCAGTTCTTTGGTTTGGAGCCAAAAGTTCCATCGGTTGTGGATTATTTTATCCTCGACAAGACCGGCCACAAAAGTGGCATGAAATGCAAAGGAATGTATAGAATGTTAATTTTACCAGCAATTTTTCTTTCTTTTGTGATTTGCCTTAAAAAAAAAAAAAAAAAGTTTTGTGGCGCAGATGTCTGAAGGGTGTTTCTTTATTTTAACCTTGACTTGGGCAGTCAGTCCCAGAGTCATCCTAAATTCATCAAGACCCGCCCCTCCTCTCCACCTCCATCTCATTGAGCCTGGAATGTTTTCCGACCACGTTGAATCACATCCAGCTGTTTGAAACGGAAGACAATCAACAAAGGCTCTCACAACAAAACACGTACAAACAAATGCGTTGAAATTTGCAACAAACTTTTTTTTTCCCCCCCGAGGACTCCAGGAATGGTTTCACTTTTTCACGTTGACAAATAACGTTGTGATCGCTTACTGTGAACGGGAAAAAAAAAAGAAATAAAAATGTCCTTTTGATTTTATTTCCCCCGCCATAAAGGCTATGTGCGTGCGTGACTGTTTGATATTGTCATTAAACAAGTCGAACTTTTATATCTTCAGCCATAAAAACGATGCCCGTCTGTGAACAATTGTTGTCGACTTTGAACAAGTTCAACTTTTACACGCTCAGTAAAAGCCACAGCGCGGACGACTTTGACGAATGTGTGACATTGTTGGTGACGACATTGCTGCTGCAAATTCCACAGATGCCTTTTAACTTTTGCGGGGTTGCTCTTAGTTTTGTATTGGGCTAATGAAAAACAGCGTTTGGCCTTTTGAACAGCGACGCAATGGAGGCGGAGCTTGCTGGCTATCGGGGCGGTCATCTGATCTTGTCACTTTTAAATTGAAGGATTTATTTCAATGTCATATTATGATACACGACTTAAATGCGCTTTAAAATGAATGTCCTGTCCTTGTGAGGAAGTCCAGCAGAACTTGGACTAATACCTAAAATGATTTGGATGTACTGAAAGTGAAGTGGTCTTTTCAACTTGAAATCTTTCATGTACATTTCTTAGGCTTTATACGCACATTCGGCGGCACTGTTAGCCGGCTATCGTCATGCGTTCATATTTTGAAGGGAACTTGAGGACCGACCGGGTTAAAGACCTTTGGAGCTGTTTGAACATCACATTGTGAGGTACTCTTGCGAAAGGCGACCGAAGAGCAGGCGTGTGGAGGGCATTGTTGTTCCGAATTATGTGTGATTCCATTCAAGAACGAAGAGGTATTGTCAGACAGCAGCGCTGATAGAAAACACATGCGAGATGTTTACGTCCACGGCCATCCTCCAAGCCTTTCGTGACCCCTCGCTGTGTTCCCAGCAATGGTGATAAAACAGATGTGTGTATGTGTGTGTGCGCACCTCTTGTCTGTGCGTGAAGGGGGGGCTTGTTGAAAGAAACGGGGTCATTGCTTCATCAAGTCCATCTAATTTCTCTCTTCCTGGCGAGGATTGACAAAAAATGCAAGAAGTATCTCAGAGCAAAAGATGGTTGTAATCGTTGACATTCGATGCACTGCACTGACGTGAATGTAATCTAAATTCAAATCATTTGGACCTGAAAGCTTGTTCACTTGTTAATTTTGTGTGTATGCGTGTGTGTGTGTGTGTGTGTGTGTGTGTGTGTGCGTGCGTGCGTGCGTGCGTGCGTGCGTGTGTGCGCGTGTGTGTGTGTGTGTGTGTGCGTGTGTGTGTGTGAGAGAGAGAGAAAGAGAGAGACTCATTTGCAAATGAAAAGTGCTTTTACGGCCTTGTGGTTTTATTTAAATAATAAAGCTGCCACAGCAATTACGGAAACATTATATATACATGAACCACGGCTGTACTTGCCAATGTAAACATGTTCACCAATGTAATCATGTAAACAAAGTGTGCATTTAGCCTTCTGTACATTCAAGCAAGCATTTGAAGACCGGAACAAAATATATAGTAAATCTACTTTATATGTTACAAACACACACTCGTGCATATCTATCTATCTATCTATCTATCTATCTATCTATCTATCTATCTATCTATCTATCTATCTATCTATCTATCTATCTATCTATCTATCTATCTATCTGTCTGTCTGTCTGTCTGTCTGTCTGTCTGTCTGTCTATCTACAGTGTATCGCTATTCCAGCTAGCTAGCTAGCTATTCCGGTTATCTATTCTAGCTAGCTAGCTACCTGCCTATTCTAGCTTGCTCGCTATCTATTCTAGCTAGCTAGCTATCTAGTGATCTATCTATCTCATCTCTATGTGAATTGAAATGCCATTAATCTATTCAAGCCACCCAAAATACATTTTTTTCGTTGGTTTATAACGAAGAAAATACATGAAAACAGAATAAAAGAGAATTTTAAGAAAGAACCTGCTCTTCTAAAGGCTAATTACTTCACATTCGGTAGGACTTGTGTTAGATGTGTGCCTTTGAGGGCTATGGCCTCGTGTGTGAGGTCAGGACCTGGAGTCAGGGTTAGTCTGGAAGAAGCATCTGGGAGTGAGTTGTTGGCCTTCCAACAGCTCCTTGCTGGTGCTCTCGTTTCATATCGGTGTTTTGACCATCTCGTTCAGTGAACGTCTGAAAGTGCGTTGGTGACTACAGCTTGTCCACATCACAGTACAGTACCTTAATTGCTCCATCCCCCCCCCCCCACCCCCCCGTTTCACTCAATTGGCCACATATCTGAGGCCAGCTGGTACTTGCAACATAAAGCAAAATAAATAAATCAGTGGAGAGATGGCGCCTCAATCAAAAAAGCCGTAACTTGGAGAACTGCTAAGTCTTGGTGCTACTGTCTTTCCAGTACAGTGAAAACACACAGACAGTTTTTGATCTCGACATTCACTGAAATATCAAGCTCTTGGATGAACAATTCTTGGATGCTCTCCCCGCTCATCTAACCCACAGAGTTTGGTTCGTTTATTTTGGGCCCGAACACTGCGAACTTTCTTTTGGGAAATGTCTTCAGACGGCGGTGGTGCGTGAGGTATATGTTCCGTTGTGAAACACCGCATCAGAGGCAGTGAAATTTTTGTGGAAATCCAGCTGGGCGCACGTGCCTTGTCCCCTGGCCGCCACAGCACAGTAGTCCACCTGCTCAGCATCCACGCCGGACTCCAGCCAGCGAAAACACACGATGCGCTGGAAGGAGCGGCGGAAGTGATCCGACACGAAGCCGTAGAGGATGGGATTGGCGCTGCTGTTCGCGTAGCTGAGGATGACAAAAAGCTGGGTGACCATGGGGTGCGGCGGCCGGTGGAAGACACTGACCAGCTGGACGACGTAAAAGGGCATCCAGCAGAGGATGAACACGGCCACCACCAGCAGCACCATGCGGGTGATCTTCTTCTCGGAATTCCGCCGTTGAAGCCACCCAGCTTTTAGCCCCACCGCTCGCATCCTGGCCACCATGAGGCAATAGCACAAACATATGGCCCCCACGGGAAGAAGGAAGCCCAAAAGAAAGGTATAGACCACAAAGGCTTCGGACCAGGATTCCTCCGGCCACAGGAAGTTACAGTCCACGGCGCCGTCCTCGGCCGGGACGGTGTCCGCAAAGATGATGATGGGCAGGATGACCACCAACGACAGCCCCCAGATGCAAACGTTGACCATTTTGGCCACGGTGGGTCGGCGGTAGCGCGCCGCCTTGATGGGGTGAACCACGGCCACGTAGCGGTCCACGCTCAACACGGTAAGACAGAAGATGGACGTGAACATGTTGATGCCGTCCACGCTCAGCACCAGCCGGCACATGAACGAGCCGAAGGGCCAGTGACGCACGGCGGCCGACGTGGCGAAAAAGGGCACGCTCAGCATGAACAGCTCGTCGGCGATGGCCAAGTTGAGGATGTAAATGTTCGTAGCCGTCTTCATTTTGGCGTACTTGAGAATGACATAAATGACCATGGCGTTGCCCGTGAGGCCCACGCAGCAGACCAGAGCGTAGATGGACGGGATGATGATTTTACTGCCATCGGGATCCGTGTAGTAGTCCTCATAGTCGGCACTCGCGTTTGATGCCAGGCTCGTCGGCTCGGCCGTAAAGCTCTCGTTCGAATCCATGATCACGAGCTACACTCTGCTTGATCCGAAGCGTTACGGCGGCTCAAATGCTGTCGCTGCTCGTGCTCCTGAATAGACAATAAAAGGGAGGTTATCAATCATTCGTCTGCTGATGGCCTCGTAGCTTTGTCTTCCGCGTGTGCCAAATCTGCCAAATTTACAGAGTCGGGCGGCGTAGCTTCGACTCGACACACTGCTGCAAATCAGTTTGGGGTTTTTTTCTGCGAGCTCCAAGACACCCTTCAAGTTCCCTCAACCTGCTTTAACGTGTCCACCGACCCGCTTTTGAAGTTGCATTAGCGACCTGCGCCGAATGGAATATGCAAAGAGCGACGAGGGGGCTGCGGGGGCGAGAGAGCGAGAGCTGCTTTAATGCTGGCCTCAATTATCTTTTTTTCTACAGAATTACGGTAGTAGCCAGGACAACACATCCAGGAATAAAATCAGGTTGGGGGGAGTGGGGGAGAAATCATCATCTTGTCAATGCATCCTCAATTAAATCCAGGGCGTTGATGTGAGATTAACTCCTTCGCACCAGTTCCTCTCCTGGAGCTAAACGCCGTGCACTTGTGCACCTCCGACAACAACAATTATCCACACCCATTGAACGTGATGTCAATTTGGAGAGTCAATTTGTGCGCGACACAGGGAAAATAATGATCCGGCGCAATGCGAGTGTAATCCGTCCCTCATCTTGCATCAATGAAGACAAACATGCCCTGAAGCGAAAGCGACCGCCGGGATGACGCCGGGTCACAATTTTAACCTTGTGAGTCCGTTATGAGGAGACGTCATTGCCCGCTCAATTCAAGTCAGCCGCTCACGTAAATATGAAGTCAGCTTCCAAATAAGCATCTGAACCCGTCAACAAGACGCATTCAGCTCATGAAGTGGATCTGGAAATATGCGGTCCCTCTGTCCGACCTCACCTGTCCTATCTTACCTGTCCTAGCCCACCTGTCTTACTGGCTACCCTTGCGTCCCTACATCCGATCCACCTGTTCAACCTTCTTCCCTTCTCATCATGCGCTACCTTCCTACCGCATTTGCCCGATCTTACATTCCTATTGCACATTTCTCAGCCCACTTGTGCTTCCCTACCGACCAGTCTGGATGCAACGGTTTCTCTCATGCCTTTCGGATTCAGCGCGTCTTCACTGAGTTTGCAACCATCGTTGTCCGCTACGCGCTATTTCCTCACCTTCCAGCTCCTCTGGTCACTGCGATGCTTCCAGCGACCGGTCCACGAGTTGCATGCATCCTGTGCCGGTCTAGTACGTCCTCTTGAGTGTGCCAGCATCCGACTGCTGTGTGAGCAGCTTCATGCCACCTCTCGTCTCTCCTCCTCGATCCTCCCTCTCTTGTTTATTTAGCATGCAGTCTCAGTCTCCCATCCCTTCTTGCCGTCTTTTCGCCAAGCTCCATATATTTTAGTGTTTCAGGTCTCCACGTCTGCCTGCTGCATGAAAATGTGCGTCTTTAGCTCACGGTTGTGCGTACATGCGAAATAATCTTGAAAGAGGATTGAGGGGCCCGTTTTGCAGAGAGGAGAGCTTCATTTACCATTCGAGAAGACATTTGATTTACATTAAAGGGGAAGTCTAGTCAAAAATGGGTTTGACATGAATTTGTTGTTTGCGCAACGGAGAATTCTGATTAATATGACGTTTGTGGAAGATGATTTCAGCAGAAGAATCCATCTGTTTTTACCCAACTCAGGGGACGGCCGGTTCGCCACTTGCTGTCGCCTGAAAATGACATCACAGTTGCTCTGGTAACAGCCGCCACAGCTCACCTGTTTTCTAGGTTTGGTCATGTGATGTTTGCATGACTTTTTTTTCCCAGCAGATCCAAAATCCGCCTGATTCTTGGCATCCCTGTGGTGATCTGGTTCTTTATTTTATTTGAATGCAGAAACAATACAATACAGCCAGATTTATATAGCGCTTACACAACAGTTGCAGTTGTACCAAAACGCTTTACAAAACAGTTAAACCCTCACAGTCACGGTGCTGTGGTGCGTTTTTTTTTTTGGGGGGGGGGTGAACTTGACACATTTGCTGATGGGGACGTGTTGTCCATGGTTTGCATTTCAATGTCATGTTGCATGGCTTTGCGCTTGAGTTGCAGTGAGGTGGGATGAAGGTGTCAATGTCAGCTCCACGTCCTCCACGTTTTGTCTTATCCTTCCTCTTGTGTGCAAAACGACCATGCAGTGACTCTGGATTAGTCACATTGTGTTCCAATGTGTCATGGTTGACGGTGATGAATGCATGCTTGAATCTTTTGACACGCTGCAGCTCAAAGTCGGGCAAAGAACCATTCATCCATCAGCTTCATTTCATGTGTGCCAATGTTTCGGCCAGTTGTTCTTGACTAGATGTTGTGCAAGGGTGCAGCGCCTCCTACAGTTAGCAGTTAGCACAACAGCTAACTGTTAATGCTTGGTTGAGGTGTCAAAATCATTTTCGTGCAGGCCATATTGAAGTTTTGGGCTGTCCTGATGGCAAATCGTGTGTGTGTGTGTGTGTGTGTGTGTGTGTGTGTGTGTGTGTGTGTGTGTGTGTGTGTGTGTATAATGTATTACCTTTTCATAACGCAAATACATAATTGTTGTATATATTTACAAAGTAATGGAAGGGACAGGATTTGGTGTCGAAATCTAGCGGTCAATTTTTTTTTTTTTTCTCAAAAATATGCTATACTTTGCTATGTTGTTTTTTGTTATTACATGATAAGATTTTTTTTTAGGTATTTCATATAACAATATAATAATTATTATTATTGACATGTGGGTGTCATGCATCGTGTTTTTCAATGTATCACCTTAAAACGTGAAAAAATATTTTTTTATACCATCGTCACATGTGTGACGTAACAAAACAAACCACATGAAAATCGTTGAAGAATCCGGCGTGTTACATTTTTTGGAGTGTGTCCAAAGTGTTGACAACAAAAGCGTAAGTGATCTGGAACAACCATATCGATAAGAGTTTAACTAATGTAATCAACAGTTAAATGTGAAAATGGAATAGAATCAGTTGTCGTTACGAGAATGTAATTCAGTTAAAAACATGAAGGCAAAGAAATACCCATTGACTGTTTGATAGGTTATTTTTATTAAAAAAAATACCCATTGACTGTTTGATAGGTTATTTTTATTTTCAAAAAAAAAGTGGGATTGTCAGTGGTTAAATTTGACTTCAAGAGTTTTGAAACATCAAACTACATAGCGTGTAACAGCACATGATGCAGGTTAAACACGACTTGCCATTTGTACACATAGCTTGAGCGAGCGGTGACAGAGGTCCAACTTGCAGAACTTCATCCGAAAGCGTGGCATTATTGCACGAGCGGACCACGAGGATCCCGCCAAGTCCGTCTGTTGTCGACGGGCGGACTTGACAGAAAGTCAACTCCCACGCGGTCTGCTGACTTGGGTCACTGCGCGGGCGTACACCGGTGACTCTTGTAGGTGCCCAGGTGGCGAAAGCTGCGTCCGCACTGTTGGCAACAGTACGGCGTGGCCCCGCTGTGGATCCTCTGGTGGGTGTACAGGTTGCCCAGCTCCTTGAAGCGCCGGCCGCATTGCGGACATGCGTACGGGCTCTCGCCGGTGTGCACCCGTTGATGTCTCTTCAGGCCGGAGAGGACCGAGAAGCCTTTGCCACACTGGAGGCACGGAAAGGGGCTCTGGGCGCCGCTGTGCACCAGCCTGTGGCTCTTGAGGCGGGCGGCATGGCGGAAGCGCTCCCCGCAGTCCGGACACACAAAAGGCTTCTCCCCGGTGTGGATGCGCTGGTGTTGCCGCAGGTTGCCCAGGTAGTTAAAATGGCGACCGCATTCCCCGCACTCGTATCTACCCTTGAGTTGGACCTCCTTTTTGGCAGGTGCCCCCTCCCCGCTGTTCACCGCTTGTCCTTTGTCCCCCACGGTGGTCTGCGGGGCCTGGAGAGCTTGGGCGCCGGCGGTGTCCGAGTGTATGAGTTTAACGTGTTCCTCCAGGAATGCCGAGTCAGGACAGAAGGTTCCGCACAAAGAGCAGATGAAGGTGTGGTTGGGGAACTGCTGGCCTGGAAATTAAACCAAATTTTAGACTGCATACTTCTTTCGTCTATGAAAGATGACCCGTCACGCACCGGATTCAGGGTGTGGATGTGTGCCGCCCTCACCAGGGGAATCGGGCACCGTGGAGAAATCGGCAGGCTGGACATGTGGGAAGCGGGCCGAAGTCTGTTCCGACGGGCCTTCCTCATCTTCCTCCTCGTTTTCGCACTCTGGCTGCTTCACGACTGCAAAAACAATTCAGTGCTCATTAGTATTACTGAGAAGCCCTGTCCTTGCTGGAGAGAACTAAAACTTATGAGTGAGGTTTAGAATTGCCTACAGATGACACAAGGCAGCAGCAAAGCACTATTTTGTCCAAATGAAACTCCTCAACTGACTTCAACGTAGTTTCTTGGGACTGAAACGCTACAGGTTGCCGCCTAACTAATACTGTTATTGATTAGACCCACCAATATGCTAAGGTGGACTGCATTCTACAACCTGATGCAAGAAGAGTTGAGTTGAAGAGCATTTGAGGTGAATCCATTTTACCCTTCAGATCTGAGGAGTACTCCATGGATGGCACCCATTCGTAGTCGTACAAACGTCGGCTGCTGGACGGCAGCATGTTGAAGATGTCATCTGCGTGTCCAGGAGGCCCGGAGGCGCTCATTCCGCCGTCCGGCCACAGCTGGAGGGGATGCGGATCCTCCTCTTGGCTGCCCTGCTCGCCTCCGTCCATTTCCGTGGCCCCCTTCGAGTTCTTGTCCTTCATCAAGTAGTCACAAATGGCGTCGATGTTCTCTTTCTTCACCCCGGGCAGTAGGGACTTCTTCTCTTTTTTCGGGTCCACGCTGAGCATCTTGGCGCTTCTAAAGGCAGCGGCGGCATCGGCAGCTTCCGCAGCATCAGGATCCTCCGTAGCATCAGGAGGAGCCTCCGCAGCCTCCTTGGCATCCCTGTGAACGTCGCTTAGCTTCGATTTCAACAGAGCAATTTCGTTGGTTTTGTCCCTCAGCTCCATCTTAAGCGCCCGTATCCTGATGCCGAGCATGTGTCGTATCTCGGCCATGGCGGCGTCCAGTGCGGCGCTGATGTTTCTGCCCAGGTGTTCGCTGACCGAGCTGACCGTGCACAGAAGCTCCTCGTCGGGCTCCAGATTGAGGAAATCGCCATCGGCGCGGCACGTCGACCCAGAAGGCTCCATAAATGCGCCTTGTAGTTCGGGGGACAGGTTAGTGCCCGAATAAGTCAAATTTCTCTTGCGACTCATAGGTGATCTGATGAAGACCAGCGTACTAGAAGCTAGCCGGCTAGCTAAGCTAATGTTTTGCTGCTACGCTGGTTGATTTTCCAAGGTGGCTCGTGAAGTCCGCGTGCAATATAAACCGGATGCTGGAGGGATTTTCTTTCAAAACAAAAGACCCTTGTTGAGAAATGCGTGCCAGTGTGTGCCGAATAGAAAACCCCAGCATGTTCATATTATTTTGAAAGCAATAAACGCGATCCTCTCGTTTGCGTAGGTGGCAGGTAAAACACTAAATCTGCCTTGTGAGAGCCAGCAAAAAGTTTTGCGGGTACAGGAGCTCTCATTTGGACCCCAGATAGTCATATTTTGTTTAATTCATAAAAATCCCAGATTCATATTAATGTAGGACTCCTTCAACGGATCTGAAAATTAACAATAGATAAGTATCATCTGTCTGACAATAAAAATAAATAAACGGTCATTTTCATCCGGTTGTATTCATCCGTTTGTCCCGCCCACACGGGGAAAAGCCTCGCGACGCCCCCGGGACAGTTTTGGCGCACTTGCAGGCAAGGTGATAGAGTTAAACAAGCGCGACTTCCAGCAAGCGAAGATGAGGAACACTTCCGGGTTCACATTAATAAATGTAAATTCTACCACGTTATTTAAATTATATTTGATTGGTGTCGATAATTATTTCAACTCTCTTGATTTAATAAAATAAATGGTAATCTGTTTTGAAATGCGAATATGTATTTTTTGATGTGATTATTTTTTTTGTAGTATTAATTTTATGTACTTGGGTTTTATTTTTGTGTGTGTAAAAGATGTTAATTGGTTTGCCTGATCTTTGTATAATACATATTTTGACCACATATTTCGACACTTTTTTTAAAAAAGGGGAAAACTTCCGGGTATGTTTGATTGACTTAACAGTAACAAAAATAAACCAGACTACACTCCAGTATAAAATGAAAAAAGTCAAAGTAAATACTTACACGATTATATAACTGACCAGGTGCATGAAACAAGATGATAAATAGTTTTGAAAGGCAAATATAAAGTTGCATAGTTAGGTTTTAAAGCTGGGGACAAATGTGCAAATGTTTTTTTTCTTGAAAAAAAAAGACATAAACTACATTACGCCAAACATTTAACACTTTTCTGTTATCCTATTAACATAATAGGTACTACAGGCTGTACAAAAAAATAGAAGACAACAATACATAAAAGACATCTCCAGTCAACTTCAAGATCCATGCTGCCCTCTAGCGGCCAAAATAATCAACAATTACGTGCGTGTGTGTGCGTGCGTGCGTGCGTGCGTGCGTGCGTGCGTGCGTGCGTGTGTGTGTGTGTGTGTGTGTGTGAGCCCTCTGTGCCAGACTCCTCCAGCCAGATGATGGCAGCTAATTATTGAACACAATGAAGCCATTTTACTTGAATACAAACTGGCCTCTTTTCCTTTTAGCTCTTTCCACATTCTTTGTCTCTCTCATGTGCGGGTTGCTTTCTTTCTTCTGTGCACTACACTCCTTTCACGCCCCCCCCCCTCCTTGTTAGGATGATTCAAACTCATAGAACAAGCATTTATTTCCACACAAAAATAATCACCTTAAAACAATCTATGTGAATATACTTACTCTTGTAACTCCACATTAATTTACTGTATAGGTGTGTACCATTATCGGTACTAGATTATAAAATTAATTACGTTTTGTAGTTCAATTCAAAAAGTGAAACTCATATTTAAGTTTTAAAACATGTATAATCACGATTTTTTTAAAAGGTTTATGCAAATTTACCAACTCAAAACAATTTGTAAATTGCATAAAGAATCAATTCTATGTTTGATGCTTGGTCTTGGAGCATTGTTAATACCAATACTGTAATCATATCCTTCTCTCCACCGGGCAGTTCCAACCTGGCTAACACTGCCTGCTGCTGGACCCATCTGACAGCAATTCTTTTGGAAAAGACCCTCAACTCAGAAATACAGGACCATGAGGTACTACATCCAAGCTGTAGCCCACACTCCTTCATCATCGCGTCATGTGTGTGTGCAAGAAGGCAAGATTAGAAGGGTGCTGTGGTTGGGGGGGGCTGTGAAATAAAAAGGGTTTTTCTCCACGATGACCAAGCAAAGCTGAAGTCAGAGAACATAATTCGCTCTGTGGCCACATGAGTGCACTCTATTATATTCTATTCAGCAATAAAGCCACATACAAAACGGGAAAATCATTATTTTTTGTGATGAAGGCCTTACATTTAGTGGCCACAGGGCCACCTTGCTTTGGAATGCACCGCAAATGTGTTTACAACTGTGGCTAGACATTGGAGGAGTCAAAACATTCTACTTTTGAAAGATTTTCATCTGAAAAATAGATATGACTAAGTTGCCAACGACATCAAGTTACCCATTCAGTCAGGCAGGAAAGGGAGGACACAGGAAACAGGGAAGCATCCCACCTCTTTCCTTCCCACTTCCTCCTGCCCTGTCTGCAATCACTTCCTGCCGCTGGCTGGGTGAGTCGCAACCCCAAAAGAGCGAAGATGTGTCTTCAGTTATGACGGCCAATCAGAGCTCCTATTTTTGTACTATTCTAATATAAACACAGTGGCCACGGCGATCTGCTACTTCCTTGCCAATCACGTTTGTGCAGTTGGTTTATGTGCGAGGCACAATTGGCCAACGTGTGCAGGCGAGTCTGTCATTTTTGTTGCAATTGTCCATTTCGGTTGCTCATGGCCGTTTCACCCAATGTGCAGCGGGCATCACTGAGGGCTCATGCTCGGACAAAATATTTTGGTTGGATTTGCTATGAGACGATGCTGACGTAAGCATAGTTTGCCCAGCCAACGAGATACAAAGGGCCACAGTTGAAAATTGAGTTTGGGTCGCAAAAATGAAGTGAGATTCCTCCAAAAACAAAACAAAACAAAACAAAAAGTTCACAGGACAACGTTGACAGCTTCACAATAGCCAGAAAACAGGAAATCCTCCTTGGCTGCGGCGGAGCGATTATTCATCCGTGTGTGTTAGTTCCGCCTGGGTCATCCTCATCCGCCATGTTTGCGTACAGCAGCGTTGTTGATAAGTGTGCACTTCTCACTCACCCCACATGCGCTCACTCATCCGCACTCCTTTTTTTTTTTCAGGGAATCTGAAGAATGCGGTTTAGGAGCTGTCCACGCTCACTAATGAAGACAATATGGATGGCTGGCCTTTCAGCCTTCAGCGCCGCGGCTCTGCAGGATGCAGAAAAGGTTTGGGAAACATTCACGGGTTGCTTCCGTGGGAGGAAATGGAGGATGTTTGGTGCTTGTTGGCAAATGTTTGAGTGTTTTTTTTTTCGAAAGAAATTGGCCGCATTGGAACTACAATCTAAATATGTGAGCATTTGACACCACCTGAAAAGGGGTTATTATTCCTAAAAAAAAATGCCAAAAGGTGGCAGCAAAGCACTGCTTTTGTCCAAACGAAACTTCTCAACTCACTTCAACATTGTCCCTTGGCACAAAGATGCCACATGATGGTGGCAAAGCACTACTTTTTGTGTAAACCAAGCTCAATTCACTTCACCACAGTTGCTTGGCGGCAAGATGTCGATGAAATTCTTTCTGGAAAACTCGAGGACGAGACCGAAGGTCAACACGGAAGCGCGAATGGCCTGGAAACATGACACAGTCAATCTGGAGAATGTCTGAAGGTGAAGCAAATTGAATTGAAAAAGTCGAAAAAACATTGAATGTTTGGAAAAGAAGCCACCCAAAATGCTCCGTGGTCATTGTTTAATAAATATCATCTTCCATTGTTGCATACCTTGAACAACATGTCAAGTCAGAATGCACATCATTTCATGCGACCCCCACACGAGTCAGAGTCGGTGTCTTCTTTACATGAAACACGAGTTTTCCAACGAGCTTTATGCAAACGAGACACTGCTTTGAATCTACTTTGACTGTCTGGACTGATAATTTATTTGCTACTTTTTCCCCCTTGAGCAAAACGTTTTTTTTCTGTTGAAATGCGAGGCAAAGCTCGGGATGTCTTGACAAACACAACTTTGCGAATCATTTACTCACAAGTCCATCTCGTGACATAACCTGTTCCCTCGCTCTCTCGCTTTCTGGGTAAGCTACAAAGACACACTAAATAAAAAGTTAGTTTTATTAAAAAACTGGCAACATCTGCCCTCCAGCACCATCCAAATTCTGGAGACATCTGGACCTGGAAGCATCCATCCGTCCGTCCACGGTTCATTATCTTCCCGAAGCTAACAGATGTCTGCTTCTAATTTTTTGACCCCGTCCACTTACTCCATTTGTTGCCTTTCAGACTTTAACCACACTAGTGACCTTTTCTGTGCTTGCTGCGTGAATGTACGATGATTGCTTTTTTCAAAACCTCTTTTTTAAATTTTTGAAGCAGAAACAAAGCAGTATCTGAGTTCTATTATGGATTCCAAAAACAAGAAAGCTGTTAAGACTCTGGCTATATGCTCCTTATTTTGAATTTTTGTTTAAAGATCCCCTGGCTTCTCTTTTTGTTTAAATGTTTGTAATATGTACATGTATTAATAACGTGTTCGTTTTGTTTTCTGTTTACTGAGAATTGTATTCTGAGTGATTTGTTCAATAAAGATTGTTTATTTAAAAAAAAAACGATGATTGCTTTTTAACACCATTTAAATTCGTGTCCTTTGCTACGGAAGAGGATTAGGGCCAATAATGGAAAAAAAAAGTTGGCAAGATTCTCACTTTAATTTCACATTTCTGCCTTTAAAATGAGAATTCTGACTTTAAAATTAGAAAGACTTAATTCTCTGAATTCTGAATTTAATCCCAGATGTTTGAGAGTAAAGTGAGAATGTTGCTAACCTTGTTTATTTTTCCTTCATTGGCCCTAATCCTCTTCCGTATTTTGCAGCAATCGTTTGTCGGCTATTCAATGTTTTTAAGCCATCCTGATCCCAAAGGCGGGAATCCGGCTCCTTGTTTTGCCACGACACGCAAGCTCGCTGGCTCGCTCGCTCTCTCCACACGGAGCTGGTGCGAGAGGTCGGAGTGTTATCTTGAGCTCACTTCTTAGGAGCTCACACTGCGAGGGAAGCGTCCCAAGAGTAACGCCAAGTGGCTATTTTGCCTGCGCATCAGTCCGCCTGCTACTCGCCTTCAAATGTGATATTCTCGGTGGTTTTGCGGGCCAATCCGCCGCAGGTGAGTGAGTCACTTCTAATTGTTGCTTGTTGTCGAAGCCGACTGACTGACTGGCAATGTAGCGGTGTGAGTTTGTGGCGAGGTTCCACGGGCCCCTCCAGACATTTGTTGACATAATACTTGAAATGAGGTCAAGTATTTGCTGGACGCACCTGGCGCCCGGGTTGTTACTTGTTGGAAGTAATAACACGTGTGAACAAAGAGACTAAAGTTCATCCCATCATGTCAACCCCCAAGAACGGTTTCAAACAAGCCAACGAGACGTGCCACATATCGTCTTCGGTTACATTGGAAAGTACTCTTAAAAAATATGGCACGTTTTTAGTTTAAGAGCAGGCCTTGTACCTTCTGGGCGCCCCGAGAACTGGTCCAGACAGTTTCTGTGCGTCGTCAATTTATTAAAGTGAACAATCACCGAGATGGTGCGTTTCAGTTGTATTTAACTTTGGCGTTTCACCTTTAAGAGTGCTTTATTTTGGAACAGTCACATAAGTGCTATTTTGACTTCATTTTTATGTGCAGTTTGAATCATTATCTAGTGGTGTCCTTAGATACCGCCGACGTGACTTAAGCGCGTTGTTGGTGTTCAACCTCTATACATAGAATAGCCTCTTCCCCCCCGAGCATATTTGTGACAATGGGGAAATTGTCTCCCAAGTGGCTGGGAACTGATGTTGTGATGACTCGTCGACAGTTTGGGGAGGTGGAGGGGGGGACATACAGTGGTGGAAGGACACCGGAAAAAAACATTGTCTCTCTGGCGGCGTCTCTCAGCATCTTTCCTGACTCCAAAACTTTCCGTCGTTCTGCCTTGAGAGAGGAACGGAGATCATGGCGTCACTCTCAAAACATGGATAGGAATCTACCTTTTGACATCTTACCACTATTGAGGAAAAGAAAATCTCCTGGCATGCCACCCAAAATTTGTCACCAAAAGTAGTTTGCTAAAATAATGATGATCTCGTCTCCCTGTATGCATAAATGTACTTCAGTGTGAAATATTTAGTTGAACGCGAAGCTGCTATCATATGAACGGCGGCGGGTTGATCCGCTTCTGCCTTCAAGTGGAAGTATTAAATTGTTCCATCTGTTGCTCCACAAGCAAAGTCTTAAAGACTCATTTTGTCACCTTCATTGATTCAATGCCCTTCTATTTCTGAATGCGCAGCTTGAGAAAGGCTCCAGTGGGATTTTGAGCAATTTTTCAGACTGCACTATCAAAGTGGAAGGCCAGCGAGGAATCACTCCAGCCGCGCACACACAGGTTGGTGATCATTTGCAAAAGGTGCAGCTGTAGGTTTCCGTGTTACCTTGGTTGTCCCCTCCAGCTCACCTGCCAATAGAATGACAACAAATGTAGAAAACAAATCTTCATAGTTGTTTTTGTCCTTTTTTGGGGGGTGCTGTGTACAGTCTGGCCCAGCCTGGCCCTGACACTAATCAGTTGATGAATACGCACACACGCAGCGAGCTGCCACCGACAGCTGTTTGGCGTCATTGTGCGTGTTAACTCTATCAGTCGAGTGCAGCTGCGTGCCTGCCTTTTTCAATTAGGTTCTCCACGTACAATGGCAAGGGAGACGGAGGGGGCAGGGGGCCCAGGGGGGCTCATTACCTTTTCCATAACGTACTCAAAGTGTGTCCATGTAGATTGTCATGGTAAGCTGCCACGTTGGAATATAGGCAACGCAAGTTTCCGTGTTGGTTGAACGTGTTTTACCTTTCATCCAAAAGGTTTGTTTCTTCGCGGCCAAATTTCAGGGGTCACCAGTGGGTTTTTTTTTTGTTTTTTTGTTTGGTTTTTTTTTTTGCAACAATCACACAATACACCAAATTGAATCATGACATTTTTTAATCGTTACATCCTTCAATCGTGTCGCACAAACCTGACTTTTGAATCAGGACATCGACTTTTGCCGAAAGTCTTTTCATACGCGATCGTATGCACTTAAAGTAGAAAGTGTGAGTACTTTTGCCGTCTCTGGTATTTATCCCGCCATGTGACCCGATCAAACCCGCACTTGTTCTCACATACACACACACACACTAAAGCCTGCGACCATTCCCTTAGCCCGCTGGTACCCGAGGGCTTTACAAGGTTCATTTGCCGCTCAATTGATCATGAGGTAAAGCAGACTTCAAGCAAATCCACACACACACACACACACACACACACAAAGGCGCACTGGAGTCTGAAGCGAGTCATGCGGTCTCACCAGGCACCATAGCAGACCCGTGGTACGATTCCCAGGCAGCTCCGACTTTCCTCACTGGTCGGCTGAGGGGGTCACGAGAGCATGCGGACGGGGAGGCCTCAAACGAGTGGTGTCGGCAAAGGCACTGGAATGTTTGTCACAAATTTGGAATTGTTGCTTTGACTTGTTGCCAGTGTTTGGGGGGGGGGGGGCACTAGAAGCCAGGCAATTCAGAGTCTCTGTTCTATTGGCTGGGCAAACATTGCTGAATCAAACCGAAAAAGTGACCAAAATGCGTTTTTACGTGTCGCACCGAGCTACTGAGACCTGTCGCCGAGAGTCAAAATTCGCAAGTACTTGACGCAAACGGGTTTATAATTGCCTGCAGGTGGCAGCAAAGCACTACTTTTGTCTAACTCACTTCAAATTGTTGCCTTGGCACCAAAATGCAACCAGATGTTTGTTTGGGTTGTTTTTTTCCTTGCTTGGGTCCGAGCGTGGAAAGAGCAAATTTGTGAATGCCAAATCACGAATACTGTATGTTGGGCTTCTCTGCACAGAATAATAAAATACATGATGTGGTTCAGTCATTTCTTTCTTTTCATCCATTTTTTTTTTAGAGCTTTGGTTAAACAAACCAAAACGACATTGTAATGTCACTTAGGTGCAATATTTCTTTTGGTGCATTTAGAGAATCAAAACAAATAACTTGTCGTTGTTTTGTCCGGTGCAGGTGATGACCTGACTGCAGCCCCCTGGTGGTGCAATGAAGGACCTCTCCTCTTCCTGCTCTTCTCTCAACTCCCAACTCCTCTACCCTTCCTCCAAGACCTCGGCAGGACCCTTCTCTCCATCCCCCGGTGCCGTCCCTTCGGCCCTGGCGTCGTGCCCCAAACCGCAGCCTTTCTGCCTCCAGACGGGACCGCACCTCATCGCCAGCATGCAGCTGCAGAAGCTCAACTCACACTACCAGAACCTGGCGGGTTCTTCGGCAGGACACCCGACTCCAAGTGCCGTTCAAAGGGGATTTAGGGCCGGAAACCAGATTCTGGGGCCCTCCGGGGGCATCAATGGAGCGGGGATGAGTGCAGGCGTCGGCGCGGGGATGCAGGCCGCCGCCCCGAGCGGAGTCTTGGACTTTGACCTCGTAGACGAGGAGGTCCTCACGTCGCTGGTGGTGGAGCTCGGACTGGACCGAGCCAATGACTTGCCTGAACTCTGGCTGGGCCAAAACGAGTTTGACTTCATGTCAGATGTGGCAGCTGGCTGCTGATCCGGCACACTAGAATAACTAAAGAAAGGATGACTGGGAAATTACACCATTCAGACCTCGGTGAAAAAGGACTTTGTCTCCTCTGTCGACAAGTATGTCATGTTTGTAAAATAAAAAAAGTAGCCATGTGGAGAGGGACAGACTAAGAATCAGACCTCTATCAAGTTAATGAATCCTAGTTGTTCACATGTTGGGCTGTTTTGAAGTAAATAATGGCTCATATTATTCAGCACATGAACCATTTCACCATTAAAAGAGCACTTCTGCGCCCTTAGTCCGAGCAACAGACACTTCAATTAACCAGTCCTTCGAAAATCACGTTAAGTATGTCTGTATTTCCCCTCCACAGCTATCTTGGAATCCACTTCATTTTTGAAATGTAATTTACAGCCGCCATTTCATCTCTCCTCCAAACACTTGACCACCATCGTCTTTTTGACTGACACCTTTCAACCCGCCTTCAATCTGCTGTGCCGGAGATAGAAGGCTGAAATCAATTTCCATTCATCTCATTTAGCCTGTTTGCCGAGTGGCTCTGCCTCACGTATATGACGACAAAATATGTGCGGTGTTACGATGAAACGGTCCTTTAGTCACGTTGGAGCCAAGCCCCCCGTTGGGTCAGCGGCTGTAATAATTGGGAGGAAAGGAAGCATGAAGGAGGCGAAACAAGGAGCCATTGCTGTCTCCTATTTCCTCCACGGTGGAGGCTTAATGAGAACAAGCTGATTGATGGACACACAAAGGCACACCTGTTGCTGCTGTTCTCCATCCAGGAACATGAAAGTGGGACGCCGGACTTTATGATGAGCCACAGTACGCTTGCTCTTTTCTCAGTAGACAATATTCTACTGTGCTTTCCACGGAGGGGGGGAAAAAAGCCTCCTCTTTCGCTCTCTCTTTGCTCTCTCTTTCTGTAGCCTCACAAGGAAAGTAATTGTCTGACAAGTGCTTATCTCGATGCCCTCCCCTTTCTTTTCATGTTGGGATCGAGCAGGAGCAGAACACTGAACAGTGGCTGATGTCCCGTCTGGACTGGAAGGACAACGGGGGCCTGTGTACGACCACCTTGGCGTGCCGCGTCATTAATTGTTTTGTTGTCAGTAAGATAGCCACCCCAAAAAAAAAAATGCGACTTGTTGTGTAACCAAAGTGGGTCAGCGGCTGTGTTTGCGTCCCTCTGTTTCGATGTTGCTTTGTTTTGCTGCTTTCATCCCATCTGAGCCAATTTTATTAAATTGCCCCACCCCCCAGAAAATGTCAGCCTGCTGCAGTTTTTTTTTTTTTTTGGTGTGCTCCTACAGAAAAGCCGTGAAGAAGCGTGTATGGCAAGAATTAACAGAGCAGCTGAACTTTATTTGAGTTTATGGTGACAGGTGTGTGTTGTTTCTCATGGAACATGAGTTTGAATGGAATTTGTTGATTCTGAACATGGCCAAATCCCCAGTAATAAGGGTGTGCACACTAGTCCAACCACATATCTCAGTTGTTTGTTTTTTTTAATGTCACAAAAACGAGGGTGTGTGTTTATATCCACTGTATAGTCGACTCTTCACCTCCTATTTCCACTTTATCACGACTGTCTTTGGGTGCACCCTGAACTGGTCACCAGCCAATTGCAGCACCTCATACTTGATGTCTGTTTTTTTCCTACCAATATAATTCAAAGTCGATTTCAGAACCACTTACGGTCTCCTCTTTTGTTTATTGGAAATGATTTAAAAAACGCCACTGAGACAAACCCAATAAGATAATGCTAGAACAGGTGAGTATATTTTAATTCATTCAGCAATTTTTATATTGTATAGTTGTTTTCAGCCTCTTGATGAAAGTAAAAGTACATAAAATGTCCTCCAAATCCGGAACGACCAATAATTTTTGTTTGGCAGCGAGCTCAAAGGTAAATTTAACATTCAATTGACTTCTTCCAAATGTTAATCGGTGCTGCCACCTGGTGTTCTCTTGTGTAAGTCGATGGAATTCGAGTAGAGTGCTGTCATTTTATTCGTTTGCTTTATTTGAAACAGACAAAAACAAGAAGGCAATCAACTTAATAAAAAGGCAATAAATTACACCGCTCGGCAAAGTTTACGTGTTCAAAAGGAGTTGAACGGTGTAGAAAAACTCTTCTTGACCTACATTTTAGTCTCCCAATGTTTTAAACTTGTATTACAGTATATTGCTACAATAAAAGGTTATGGGTTATTCCAGAATTGGAAGACATTTTACGTCTCACTCATCAAATTTTAAATAATCCATCTACAACATATTAAAACATGCAGTTTTACTTGTCCTGAGACCAAATCTAAAAAAAAAAAAACGAGAAAAGAATGCTCGAAAATAGTTCTGAACATTTCAAGTAAGTCTGGAATACCCGCTAAGATACCATTTTTCTCTTGCCCCCATGACCAAATTGAATCTCAAATAAAACAGCTAAAATGAAATACAGATAGATGGAGAGATATATATTTGTGTGCGCGCGCGTGTCCTTGTGTTATGGGTATGATCAGAATAAGACAAGAATACTTTTAAAATGTATTCTTTACTTATTTACACAAGTAAATGTCTCCCCTTGGTGAGGAGTAATAACTAGCTAAAAAAAAACAATTGAGCGAAAGCTAACGTTCATCTGAATTTGCAAACCTGGCTGTTTCCTACAACCCCGTTCGTGTAACTGAAGTGACAGATGTCAACACCAAATAAATCATGTTGTATTTGTACCCATTATACAAGCTGACCTTATCAAACCTTTGATCGTATATTAGCTATTATTGATAAATATGTAGAAGAAAATCAGAAGAGTGAAGCTCTATATTTTTTTTAATCACTGTCAAAGTTTTCATCCATCTATACATCCATCTAGGTAATAATATTTGTCTCATTTATCATTGAGTGTTCAAATTAAATATATTTTTGTCCCTCCCAGCGTTCCTCTTCTTGACCTACATTTTAGTCTCCCAATGTTTTAAACTTGTATTACAGTATATTGCTACAATAAAAGGTTATGGGTTATTCCAGAATTGGAAGACATTTTACGTCTCACTCATCAAATTTTAAATAATCCATCTACAACATATTAAAACATGCAGTTTTACTTGTCCTGAGACCAAATCTAAAAAAAAAAAAAACGAGAAAAGAATGCTCGAAAATAGTTCTGAACATTTCAAGTAAGTCTGGAATACCCGCTAAGATACCATTTTTCTCTTGCCCCCATGACCAAATTGAATCTCAAATAAAACAGCTAAAATGAAATACAGATAGATGGAGAGATATATATTTGTGTGCGCGCGCGTGTCCTTGTGTTATGGGTATGATCAGAATAAGACAAGAATACTTTTAAAATGTATTCTTTACTTATTTACACAAGTAAATGTCTCCCCTTGGTGAGGAGTAATAACTAGCTAAAAAAAAAACAATTGAGCGAAAGCTAACGTTCATCTGAATTTGCAAACCTGGCTGTTTCCTACAACCCCGTTCGTGTAACTGAAGTGACAGATGTCAACACCAAATAAATCATGTTGTATTTGTACCCATTATACAAGCTGACCTTATCAAACCTTTGATCGTATATTAGCTATTATTGATAAATATGTAGAAGAAAATCAGAAGAGTGAAGCTCTATATTTTTTTTAATCACTGTCAAAGTTTTCATCCATCTATACATCCATCTAGGTAATAATATTTGTCTCATTTATCATTGAGTGTTCAAATTAAATATATTTTTGTCCCTCCCAGCGTTCCGTTTGCGGCTTTATGACGTCACACCGGAAGTGAGTTGGTCCTTTCCCCTGCAGACCTCAAGATGGTGCGTTCCAGCCTGTTTTCTTTCCTCTCTCAAATCATCGTTAAACATCACTTTTCTGCTTTGTATTCCCATAAACATTCAGAGCTGAGTTGCAAATGTGACATCTTACAATGTTGTTTCAGTCTGTATTTCAGCTTAGAGACGAGTCGATCGTTGTGGATTGGGTTTTTGATAGACGCTGTCTTTGCCCAGCGTTAGCCTCACCGCTGCTATGCTAGTCAGAAAAGTGGCAGTTGCTGCATTCGCCCTTCGCGATTTTAAAGCAGTCCGCGTGTTTCTCAAGCAGCCTACAAATTGAATGTGATATGTGAATTGAGAATTGTGTTGTCGTGCTCATGAACGCATTCGTTAGCCGGTCCAGGCCGCAGCCGGGAATGCTTGCTGCTATACTCGTGAAAAATTCGTGTAGCCACGCGTTCTAATGTTAACGACATGCTGATGTAACTGGTTTGAATTCATCGAGCGGGTCTAGAGGAATGGAAGGATGTTTGATAGCGCTTGGAGCTTAATTAAACCATATGAATAGGCGTTTGTATTACATATTCATACGAAATGTTATCATATTGTCAACCCCATCCAGGCCAGAGGACCGAAGAAGCACCTGAAGCGCGTCGCGACGCCAAAGCACTGGATGCTTGACAAGCTCACCGGAGTGTTTGTAAGTAGCGTTTCTCTCAATGTTAACGTGGCTTTTAGTGTGGCGTCTGTAAATGTGGTTTCTGTCAGGCTCCACGTCCTTCCACCGGTCCGCACAAACTGAGGGAGTGCCTGCCCCTCATCATTTTCCTGAGGAACCGCCTCAAGTATGCCCTGACTGGGGATGAGGTGAAGAAAATCTGCATGCAGAGGTTCATCAAGATTGACGGCAAGGTCCGCACCGATATCACCTATCCTACTGGATTCATGGGTGAGTCGAGCCATCCGCTTGAGCTGCCTTTCGGTCAGGGGTGTCAGAGTCAACTTATACAGGGGGGCTGCTGGAGGCAGAGTCTGTATATGTCTGGGCTACATCAAGTAGTACACTAAAAAGGGGGTTCAAATATTTGAACAAAATAAAACCCAATCTTCCGGTATTTATTAATAATAGTTCAGAACATGAATCGTTCTTCTGAATGTGAGCAGGATTTGGCGTCTGACCCGGTGCTCTTTTTTTTTTTTCTCCCTCACCTCCCTTGTACTTTGGGTACTCCTCAGCATTTTTAAAGTTAAATAATGACATGATTCCTTGAGCACCAAAGCTTTCTCCGTGCATTCGGCACGTCGCGTGTCCCTGTGCTCAAAAAACGTCTCCTCTAAGGCTGGAGAAAAAAAGTTGACTTGCTCAGTTCTCTCGACCACAAATTTTGACTAACTGATGGAATAATCAACAGTATAATGTATTCCAAAAAGATGCATTTGGGACAGCCCTCGTCTCCTTTCCTTCCACTTGATGTCACTTCAGAAATACGTTTCGTCCAAATATATCATAGCCCTGACCGATGATAGCCCTAAAATTATTTTTTTAAATCAAAATGTTAAAAGGCAACTCTATGGCAAACGTTGGGGCCGCAATAACATTAAAATTGATGTCAATTAGGGGGCCGCAAAATATTATCCTGTGGGCTGCAAATGCTCCCACCCCCCCTGGCCGTGACTTTCAGACCCCAGCTTTCGATAAACGTTGAACTTGTCTTAACTTTCCCCTCCCTTTTTTTTCTTTAAGTAATTCTCTGTATCGCATACACGACGTGTGCTGTTTGGAATGTGCAGATGTGTTTTTCGAACATCTGTGTTGTCTCTGTTTGCAGATGTGATCAGCATCGAAAAGACGGGCGAGCACTTCCGCCTGATCTACGACGTGAAGGGCCGCTTCACTGTGCACCGCATCACCGCCGAGGAGGCCAAGGTAAGAAGCCGGCCGGCCGGCGGGCCATCACCGCCCAACCGCGTTGTGACGCCACCCTGCCGTCGCCGCAGTACAAGCTGTGCAAGGTGAGGAAGATCCTCGTCGGCACCAAGGGGATCCCCCACCTGGTGACCCACGACGCCCGCACCATCCGTTACCCCGACCCCCTCATCAAGGTCAACGACACGGTGCGCATCGACCTGGAATCTGGCAAGATCACCGACTTCATCAAGTTTGACACCGGTAGGTCTGGGTGCACGTGGCACGCAGCCAGGAGGATGGGTCGGCTAAATGGGACAATAACCCTCCCTCCCCCTCCCAGGTAACCTGTGTATGGTGATCGGAGGCGCTAACTTGGGCAGGATCGGCGTCATCACCAACAGGGAGCGTCACCCCGGCTCCTTCGACGTGGTGCACGTCAAGGACAGCACCGGGAACAGCTTTGCCACCAGGCTGTCCAACATCTTTGTCATTGGCAAGGTGAGCTGGTGGCGATGGCCCGAACGTCGATTTACTTTTGCCACGTGTGGAGCAATGATGACTTTGTGCTTTTGACAGCAATGAAAAAATATTCCTCAATCCTCTAAGAAGTTCTGAGCTCCTCAGTTACAGTCAACCCCCTGCTTATCACAGGCAGTAGCTTCCAGACCCGCATACAATCAGTGAACATTTGTAAAATAGAGCCGATATAAGAAAAACAATTTTTTGAATAGGCTTTCTGCTCCCACACATGCGACACATTGAAACGTAGTCAAATCACATTTTCAAATACTTGCTAGGATCTGTTCCAATGTGGCTTGCACTCTTTTCCGAAGAAGCCAAGAGAGCGTTCTTCAAACTGTTGTGTCCCAGTTGACATTTGCTGAAAACAAGGGACATTGAAAACCGTTCAGCATTGTACATGTCAACATAAATGTTCAAATCAATGACACAATTTTAAGTCCACTACCTTAATGCTATCATAAAATGTGACATCATCTTGATGGCAAAGTGA